CATCTTTGTTAAATAGGTAAATATAAACATTTTTACTAGTATATTATTTATTAAATAATTATTTAATCAAAAACTTATGTCTAATTTTTTAAGACCTATGGAACCGAATGAAGCTAAAAATTTATTATCRTTGATGGGATCTAGAGATATTCTAGTACTTGAAAAAGTACTTGTAACTGTTAGTAATTTAGCAACATTTACACCAAACCAAGTATGAATATTATTATATTTTTCAAAACTCCTTTATATAAAATAAAAACAGTTATATTTATCTATCTTGATATTTTTTTATTATAGTAGAACAGATTTATAAATTAGACTTAAAATGTGTATATTTATAAATAGATAGCTTTTTGTACTGAATAGAACCACTCAGGCTGTAGTCCAAGCTTAGCAACCAAATTTTCACTCAATAAACAGTAAATTTTCTTCTCTTTATAGTGTGAATATTTGGTTGCTTATAGCTTGGACCTACAGCCTATGTGGTTCTATCCTGTGCAAAGCAGTTTTTTCTATGTCATACATTTGTAAGACMGAGACATCACGTATGGGTGTGGCGTCTTCTTAAAAGGTTGAAAAAAATAATAGGGAATGCTGACTTGAGGTGTGTAATTTCTTGATAATAACGCCATACTTCAACTGCCTCGCTCACTCAAGACCCTGYTCGTTTAGATGGGATGTTGTGACTCACCTGCCTTACTTTGCCAACCTGGCAACATCAGATTATCAACCTACAAACAATGTGCTTAGGATACTAAAATTTATTGACCTTCATGATGATTTTTGAAGAAATAATGACATCTATTGGTATATTATATCCTGTACATTTCATTAAAATATATACACATCCCTCATAGTATTATAATAAAATTAATTTTCCAAGTAATATGTTAGTATTGTAACAGGATTTAAAATCAATTGGAATAAAACAATTTTTACAATCCCTAAAAATTGTATACATTATTTTAATTTTAAGGAAATAATGAGGGAAGCTGGATACTTGAGTCAACTTCAGCAATTGATTTATCATCCTGAAGAATCTGTTCAAATAACTGCACTTGTGGCATTAGGAAATTTAGCTTTAAACAAAAATAATTCAAAAGAAATGAAGGTAAAACAAAAAATGGAAATTTAAAAATAATATAAATTAATTTTTAATGTTTAAAATCCTAACWGTGTACTAACTGATGTATATTGTTATTTTAATGAAKATAWTAATATGATTTATAGGAAACAATTCCAATGTTATTAGCTCTAATGAAAATGATGGATTCGGATGAGATTATTTACAATTGTTTATCCACTTTGACCAATATTGCAGTATTCCATATGTGGCATAGTGAACTACAACCGGCTATACATACATTATATAGTTTATTAGAAAGTCAAAATAACAAAGTTGTTCTTCAATGCTTAAAACTWCTAATCAACTTATCTTGTAATGATGATATGATTCCACATCTTTTAGGTGGACAAGTATGTTATTTATTATTCATAATATATGTATCATGGTTTTTATTTATGTCATACTCCATTCATATATATATAGAAGTATAATGAAGATGTTGTTTGAAATTAATTTTTTATACTCAGTCATCTTCTAATATCAAAAATAATCAAGGTATATAATATATTAATACATATTGTTTATTTTGTATTAGGCTCCCAAAAAACTATTATCCATGTTGAACTTGAATGAAAATGARGATATTCTACTTAGAGTTGTAACATTATTTAGTAATCTTACTGATGCCGTAAAAGCTATGGAATTGGATCCTGTATTAGATTTGCCTGTGGAAGACAAAGCCGCAGCCCCTGATACTATGTAAGTGTAAAAATTGTTCAAAGYTTAAATACATTTTTGTTATGACTCAAAACTTAAAACCTTCAAAATCATTAGTACATAGTTATTTTAATAAATAAAACAATATGTTTTATGACGTTTCAACTTTGGGTATTATTCCCTAAATTCTTTTCCCTTAAAAGAATATCGGCACACTATTTGTTTTCTGGGTCTTTGGCCCACTCTTAAAATAGATAAAATGCATTTATGCAGAATAATTTTTTCTATGTTTATAATTGATCTTAGAGTAAAATCACCCAATACACAAAAACGATAAAGAGGAAATGACATATCAATTTGTCTAAATAATGTCTCCAAACAATTTAAACATTATTTAAATACTCAACAATTTTTGTTTATTTTGAAAGTCAAATATAAAATCAAATAACAATAAAATATAATATCGATATGTCATTCCTTCAAAATTATTATTTTTTATTTAGATAACTTAAAAAAATAGAAAAAATGATTCTGTGTAAATATATTTTGTCTATGATGTGAGTGGGCTAGAGAGAGAGAAAACAAATAGTATCAAAAGGAATATTTGCTGCCATCAATGCCTTGCACAAATCTTTAGCAAAAACCGACTTTTTGTTACATGCAATAAAAAGTTGTTGAGTACAATCAAAGATTATTGACATTAAACCTTTTGACGAGCTGCTAACTTTTCATGATTTGTTTTCAAATGCTACATGACCATACATTTTTTTTCTGTATTCATAACATTACTAAATAAACTATAGAAATGATGACAATTCTGATACAATGAAATTATATTTAATTGCCTTTATTAGAAAATTGTTAACATTTTCTATAACTTAGGTACATACAATAAACATAAGATTAAGTTGATGATTTAAAAAGTSTATATTATTGTAATTATTTTTAGGAATACACATGGAAAAAAATTATTGCAATAATAATGAGGGATTTTTTGTAGGCATAAACTATTTACTTTCAAACAATATTATTCAAAATTCAGTATTTGAAGTCATGTTTTTGAATACTACCCTTATAAAATGTACTAATCATGAAAATTTAATAATTAAATGGATACTTCAATACAATTTTGAATATTTACWAAAAAAATAATGTATCTGTTTAATGTATTATCTATGTATATAATTTTTTACTTTTATGATTTAGGCGTCCCCGTGGAATTCACCTAGAATWATGAGTCCTGTAGACGCTAGACATATATTAGGAAGTCGATCCACAGAAAACCTAAGGCTGTGTGATAATTATGCGTTGGAATCAAATTTTGGCACACAGTTAAGAAGAAAAAGTTCCAACAGGTCATTAAGAAGAAAATCCCCTCAACCAGGTGAACACAGACTTTCTGTCAGCCAGTCTAATCAAGATATGGAAGAATTTGAAAAGATTAACCAACCATCTYTGTTAAATAGGTAAATATAAACATTTTTACTAGTATATTATTTATTAAATAATTATTTAATCAAAAACTTATGTCTAATTTTTTAAGACCTATGGAACCGAATGAAGCTAAAAATTTATTATCRTTGATGGGATCTAGAGATATTCTAGTACTTGAAAAAGTACTTGTAACTGTTAGTAATTTAGCAACATTTACACCAAACCAAGTATGAATATTATTATATTTTTCAAAACTCCTTTATATAAAATAAAAACAGTTATATTTATCTATCTTGATATTTTTTTATTATAGTAGAACAGATTTATAAATTAGACTTAAAATGTGTATATTTATAAATAGATAGCTTTTTGTACTGAATAGAACCACTCAGGCTGTAGTCCAAGCTTAGCAACCAAATTTTCACTCAATAAACAGTAAATTTTCTTCTCTTTATAGTGTGAATATTTGGTTGCTTATAGCTTGGACCTACAGCCTATGTGGTTCTATCCTGTGCAAAGCAGTTTTTTCTATGTCATACATTTGTAAGACMGAGACATCACGTATGGGTGTGGCGTCTTCTTAAAAGGTTGAAAAAAATAATAGGGAATGCTGACTTGAGGTGTGTAATTTCTTGATAATAACGCCATACTTCAACTGCCTCGCTCACTCAAGACCCTG